GGCTGTGTGTACCGGAAGCGTCTAATGCACACACACACACACCTCTCCCTCCCTGGGGGAGTCCCGCTGCAGCACGCCCTCCCCCTCCCCCCCTCCCCTTCCCGATGCAGCTGCTGCATCTCATTGGCTCTCCCTTCAGCGAGGGGAAGGGCGGCGAGCACTCAGCGCCCCCGCGAGCCGAGTGTCATTTCCCGAGCTTCCTTCCGGGGTGTCGCCCGGCTCCCGTTTACACTGACAACTTTAAAATTTAAATGTCTGTCTTCTCTGATATATAAAGTGTGCCACTGGCGTGCATGCACGTGCAAGTGACCATGCCCAACACTATGTTGCACACTTTTGAGTGGTTGGCTTGATATTTGAATACTACCATTTTTTTAACAGTAAAAATGACCACTTCAAAGTGTTCAACACCAGGGTTAACTTATTTGTTAACCTTTGGACATTTATTTAAAGTGTTCAAATTTACTGTTGAACACTTGGCAGCTTTCAAATATCTAGTCAAACACTTAAAAGTGTGCAACATAGTGCACGTGTGCACGCAAGTTGAACACGCAGGGCTCATTGGCGCGGGGGCAAGCTCGCCTTGGCGCGTCGTACCGAAATGTCGTACCGGCTACAGAAAAATTTTACATGGAAGATGCCGTACACGTATGTTTTACAGGGATGGTTTACTACCGCCCACGGAAGAAATGTCGCGGTCATTTAACTGAGTCTAGGCACAGTTTGGTAAAATTTGAAATTTACACCCCACTAGCGTGTGATAGGCGCTCCATTATACATTTCATTTCTCCTTTAATTTATTTCATTATTTAGTTGGGGGGGGGGGGGGGGGGGGAGGGGCAGCCTACCGTCAATAATTCCTCACTGTAAACATGGGTAAATTGTGCGAAAATGTGGCTGGTCCGTCCGTTTGAGTCGCCTGGCTTGGCTTGGGCCCGGAGCGGGGGGGCGCCGGCGCGTCGCACCCTCCGTCCCTTTCTTCGCCCCGCGCCCCCCGCGCCTCAACAGGTGGCGGCGGAGGGCTGCCGGAGGGAGAGAGAGAGAGAGAGAGGGAGAGAAAGGGCGAGCGGCCCGCGACGGGGATGTCTGCCCCCTTTGTTGGGTGCGCGCCGCTGTTTGTGCAGTATTATCGCACAAGTACACTGCCAATAAGCGCCGCGAAAAATGTTTGAAGGAAAGAAAGAACAATCTGCTTTGTTCGAAAAACAAACAAACGCGGCAGTGTTTCAAACGCAATCGTTCTTAGCCACTTCTACTTTTGATCCAGCGCTATGATGCATGGCATCGACGCGTGATCCCTCTGGAGAGTAGCGAGTTCTACTAAAATTGCTCAAGTTTGCGTGCTGTATCTCTTGTCCGCGACCTAAGAAACGTGTCTTGTGTCGCGCACTGGGTTTCATGTGTGGTATTTGTATTATGGCTCACCTTGCGAAAGTTTATTGACAGTACTGGAGCCGCCCGCCGCAACTTGCCACCCGTTCCTGGCGGGATCGATCCCCCTCTAATCCCCCTCCCCCTCCCTGTCCCTCCTTCCCCCGCAAGCCTGGCGCACTTCCTCGGGGTCACCCTCCCCGGGCCCCGCCGGCCAAGGTCTTACCTCCCCAGGCAAGCGGCCCCCGCCCTCCTCACATTTTACTCTTAATAAATTAATAAACAAGGGTTTGCTTGAAGAACATAACTACAAGCAGGCCCGCCCATCCACTTAACAGAATTGCAAGCTCCACTTTGCCGCGGTGACAAATCCGTTACGCACCCTACCGGCGGTGTTTGGTTGGGCCTTCTGTGGCCCGCTAAAATTGATCGATTAATTGACGCGATGAATAATGCTGTGACGATATCGTGGCGAAACTCCACATTTCTGCACCCAGAGAACCATTTAGTTGATACAACAAAATCAGGGTTGTATTTAACAAAACTTAGTTCTTATAGCCGACTAAAATTGAGTAACCACATTTGAAACTAAATATGGTTACACCAATCAAATTAAGACAGCTAGATAAAATTATTTCATCGCACGAGGATAAACTTTGGTTGACAGGGGTGAAATTTTGAACTTGGTTCTCTAGACGGTCTTCTGTTTCTGCGTTTTCTGGGCGTGCTTTTGAAAAACAAGATAGCGCGGAGATTTTGGTGAAAAGGTTGAAGTTTGAGGGGAAGATTTCGTGATACAACTTGTCATACATTATCTCTGAATGAAATTTCCCAGTCACTGTCATCTAGGCTAACCGGGCCCGTGGCGGCGGCAGGCTCAGCGCGGCCAGCCAGCCAGCCTCTGGGCCAAGCCGGCCCTCGCCATCACTGGCCCGTGCCACAGCCAGTCGAGTGGAGGAGCGATCGGGGCCGCTGGTTGCGCGCGCGCCAGGGCGGGGCGGGGCGGGGCGGGGCGCGGCGGGGCGGGGCGGGGCGGGGCGGGGCGCCCACGAGGAGGCGGCGGGCGTGGGAGCTCGGCACGCCGTGTGAGCATCGCATTAGCAAAGGGTGACGAACGTTGGGGGAGAGAGAGGGAGAGGGAGGGAGAGAGAGAATGAGTAAGAGAGAGAGGGCGAGAGAGAGACGGAGAGAGGGAGAGAGCGCGCCATGAGGCGGGCGGTGATGCTCAGCCATTTGCCGGCCCGCTCCGCTCTGCTCCGCTCTGCTCCGCTCTGCCCGCTCCGCGCCGCGAGCCCGAAGGCTCATGGGGCTCGTTGGGGCGGCGAGGCAAAGCCAGGCGTGGCGGCGCTGCTCGCTTGGACGCGTGCCAAAGGGTCGGCCCCCGCGCGCATGTGTGTGTGTGTGTGTGGCGCGTGTGTGTGTGTGTGTGTGTGTGTGCGCGCGCGCGTGCGTGTGTGTGTGTGTGTGCGTGAGTGAGGCTGCGGACGGCGCGGCGGCGCCCCTCGCTCACGCCCGCTGCAGCTACACTGCCAATCATGTAAACGGAAAACACACACAACGCACTGAAAAAAAAAACCCCTCGTAGATTGTAAAATTTTGTTGTATTTTCTTTTTTCTTTTTTGGAGGGGTCCTCTCCTCTCCTCTCACCCGTGCGCCCGCCGAGTCGAGGATAGGCAAACCCGCAACACGGCGGCGCGTGCTGTGAATCACCCGGTACTTGTCGACCAACTCCAAGGCACCTCTACGAAGTGCTTGCAAATTTTGTTATTTTTAATCTCTAGTTTAGAGCACACGAAATGGACATTTTGACGTCTCTTCCCCATCTTGAGTACACGATCCATTCTCTCGACTCGACCGGGCAAACAAGGCCAAAAGGAAGAAAGCGTGCGCCCGCCCGTCGGGCCTCCTCGGGGGCTCAACTGTATTAGTTATTGTCCATTTTCTCTTTCGAAACGTGGCGCGAAATGGAGCGACGAGTAATGGCCAAACAGAGACGACGCGGGCTGTCTGTAGGGGCTGGACCCAAGGCCAGAGAGCATGAAGCTTCAGTTGTCATCCTTACCACTCGCGGGCTGTCGACCGCAATGTGGAGTGATGACAGCATTCACTGTGTGTATGTCATCCGTCTCACCTCCGCTGTCGCTGTGTGAAATGTCACGGGCTTATTGGTGTTTGAGTGTGTGTGTGAATTTCCATTCGTAACTTATTGTAGGTGTATTTGACTCAAGTCATAACGTCAAATCCATGGTACATGGAATTTCCAATTCAACATCCTTGGTGTTTGTGAGTTAACATTCGCACTCTCTTAGGTGTTTGTGAATTCCCATTCCGACACTTGTACAAGTGAAAAAATTCCTCAATGGAATGGAAATTTACACATCTGCGCGAGTGTGCGACTTGGGCTGGGTTACGCCGCGTGCACCAATTTCTCTAACTTGCTCTGGTCTACTAGAAGGTTCGAGGAGGCCAGAGCCGCGTGGCGACTAAAGCATGTCTTCAACTTCTTCAGTGAGCCGTATGAACAATTTTAAGCGCCGTCGTGGTTAAGTCGCAGAAGGCACAAATCCATGTATTAGGTTTTTTTTTCTTTTTTCGATATTACTTTTGTATACCTACTGTCCCCTTGCGCTCGACCCCCTTGGCGTACAGTCCGCCTGTCCATCCGTCCGCGCCACCTGCCACGCGGCCGTTGCCAGGCAGCCTCTCCTCGGTGGGCGGCCGCGGCGCTCGCCAGGAGGCTTAGGCAACGCGCTGGCAGCCGTGCGGCCGTGTTGCCTACCCACGCTCCGCGGGCGCTCCTCCTCCCGCCGGCCGCTCGGCGCTGGACGTTGGAGGGGGGGGGGGGGGTGACGCCTTGCTTGACGTGCATTGAGCTCACTTTGCACTCCGCCGTCGTGTACGTTTGCTCGTCGGATATGTGCGTTCTCGTGTTGGGGGGGGGGGGAGGGGGCGAGATCGTTGTGCCCGGCGCGCGCCGCACGCTGACGGAGCGGCGACGCTACATCAGCGGTCGATGGCAGAAATGGGTCAGCGGCAGCGGGCTGGCGCGAGGGCGAGGATGGCCGCGACCTTGGCGTCCCCGGAGCTGGCTGTCCCGGAGACGTCGTCGTCGTGCCTCCCTCCTGCCCGGCCGCACACCTGTTTCGAAGACGTACTGTACCTTGCAAAAGATGCGCATGATTCGCTGTTCACAAACACGCAAGGGGGTTTCCTTGAAACTCATGTGTGATACAGTCCACAGTTTTAAGTCGTAGAAAAATCATGATTAATGACAGTCATGGAAAAGTCGGAGCAATCAATCGCCGTGTCGTGGAAAAAACAACAACAAAACAACAACAACAAAACTGCCAGCATGTTTAGCTGTCGCGCTACGGTACTGTAAAATGAATGCATCAGCTTGGCTTCAACAGAAGTTGAACCAAAAAAAAATACTTCTAAGGATGATGAATGTAATCGATAACCTTGAACTTATAGTCAGGGACAAGTTCTGGAAATATCTGGGAATTTACGAATCTTCACCCTTTATTAACGGTCTTGCTAATTTTCAGCCGCCAATTTCTTTGCCTGACTGAATCAAAAAATCTCTTTATGGTGTGATGGGTTGTATCGCTCCGCAAGTTTTCGGATGAGAGTTTATTTCTTATTTTTTCCTTTTTTTTTGTGTTGCAGCCGAGTGTGACTTCCGCCACGACGCCCGCCCACAGCGCCCGGAGGCTGCCACACCATGGGTCGGAAGAAGATCCAGATCTCGAGGATCACGGACGAGCGGAACCGGCAGGTGACGTTCAACAAGCGGAAGTTCGGCGTCATGAAGAAGGCGTACGAGCTGAGCGTGCTCTGCGACTGCGAGATCGCCCTCATCATCTTCAGCTCGTCCAACAAGTTGTACCAGTACGCCTCCACCGACATGGACAAGGTGCTGCTCAAGTACACCGAGTACAACGAGCCGCATGAGTCGCTCACCAACAAGAACATAATCGAGGTGAGTTTGCAGATCCGGAGCGAGACCCAAGTGTGTGAATGTCGCACACTTCTATGGGGGCACAAGTATGTGAATTTTAAAGGAAAATTTTTACATTTACTCCCTGAAGTGTACGAATGGTCGACGAATGGGCATTCACACACCTACAAGTGTACGAATGGGCATTCACACACTTTGGTCTCCAGTGCACAACAAGCAGCTTGACGTCGACATTTCATCACACGACCGCGTGTCTCTCCTTGCTTGTTCCAGGCGCTGAACAAGAAGGAGCACAAGAACGGCGCGTGCAGCCCGGACAGCCCCGAGGCGGACTCGGAGTACACGCTCACGCCGCGCACCGAGGCCAAGTACTCCAAGATCGACGAGGAGTTCCAGATGATGATGCAGCGGAGTAGTCAGATCAACGGAGGATCCAGGGTACGAGCTCTGGCGTGTGAGCCGTCTCCAGCGCACTTTAGTGCCGTACAACACGCTGTAGTGTGTCTGTGTCCGCAGGTGCCCATGGCGCAGTCGAGCTACACGCTGCCCGTGTCCGTGCCCGTGAGCTACGGCGAGGCCGGCCTGCTGCAGGCCAGCCCGCAGATGGCCCACACCGTCAGCCCCCGCCCCTCCTCCTCGGAGACGGACTCAGGTGCGACGAGTAAAAATCAATCAAGAACCCTGCCAAAAAAAAACTGCTGAAAACAAACTACTTTTCTCTGAGAAAAATATCCTCGTAAATTTAGATCATGTGTTGTAATTTGTATTTACCAAATATGTCGTAAAATTGCGACAGCCCATTTTTACTTGTCGTGTCGATCAATTCCAAGTCGATGCGAAGTGTTTGTCAATTCAATTTACAATTTCTAATTGTAATTTAAAAATTTTCCCGTCAACCTACGACCCATTATTCTTTGTGATTCTATTGTTAAGCTAACTTAAATTAAAAGTTAATTTAAAAAAAACGGATTGAAGAAAAATTCAATTAACTTTTTGTGTGTTAGTGTACGCGGCCGGTGGCATGCTGGAGATGAGCAACGGCTACCCCAACTCGTCGAGCCCGCTGGGCGAGTCGCCGCCGCCGCCGGGCGCCTCGCCGGGCAAGGGCGGCGGTCGGCACTCGCCCCGCAGCCTGCGCGTCCTCATCCCCAGCCAGGGCCCGCTCGAGGCGGACGACGTGGCGGCCGACTCGTGCCACTCCAACGGCGACAGGCTCTTCGACGAGGTGAGCAAGTACAAAAAAAAATATGTTTCATTGCTTTCCAGAAAAAGAAAAAAAATCCCCTCAGTTTACCACGTTGCTGTTCGTCGTGTATCGGCCGCTTCTGATTAACTAATCACTAACGCTAAGCCCGGCCTCACGTGTCACGTGCTGCAATTATCGACATTATCACTTCAATTACGCACGACGTATCGCCCGCGCGCGTGTTACCCCCCACCGCGGCCCAACCTACGTGTGGCTCTCCCGCCCCTCGCGGCTCTCCCGCCCCTCGCAGCTCTCCCGCTCCTTTCAGCTCTCCCGCCCCTTGCAGTTCACCTGCTCCTTTCAGCTCTCCCGCCCCTTTCAGCTCTCCCGCCCCTTGCGGTTCTCCCGCTCCTTTCAGCTCTCCCGCCCCTTTCAGCTCTACCACCCCTTTCAGTTTTCCCGCCCCTTTCAGCTCTCCCGCCCGCTCCCGCCTCTTTCAGCTCTCCCGCCCCTCGCAGCTCTCCCGCCCGCTCCCGCCCCTTGCAGCTCTCCCGCCCCTTGCAGTTCTACCGCCTCTCGCAGCTCTCCGGCAGCTCTCCCGCCCCCCTCAGCTCTCCCGCCCCTCGCGGCTCTCCCGCCCCTCTCAACTCTCCCGCCCCTCTCGGCAGCGCTGTTCCTCCCTGCTGCTCACTACTAACCTCACTAACAAGCATGGTGTGTTGTGCGCGCCCGCAGCGCCTGCCGCGCGGCCTGCACTACGGCGGGCAGGGCGGCTCCGGCCCGGCCCCCTCCTCACACCGCGGCGCGCAACACTTGCAGGCGCCGTCCATCGCCGGCATGTCGGGCTACGCGTCGTCGCTGGGGCCCTTCGGCGCGCAGGACTTCAGCATGGGCGCCGACATGGGGCTGGGCAGCACGCTGGGCTGGCCGCACCACCACTCGCACTGCAGGTGAGCTTATGACCATCAAAGGGGGTCGTTCACGTGCTGCGTGACCCTTAGGGGAGGAGGTACGCGTACGCACAATAGTCCACACGGTGTAAATAATGTCTGAGCAGTTCTTGAGGGGGAAAAAATGACAACTTTGTGAAACTCGTCTAGTTTGAGGAAAAGTCATTATAGATTTGGAGGAAATCTCCTGGAAAAATGAGGAAAATTTCCGCATATTTTCTTACGAGACCTTCTCACAACCTGAGGAGTTTTCCTTAAACTGGAGGAGATCCTCAAATATATCCCCTTTTACCCCAAAAATGCAGACATTGTTTGTACTGTGCATTTGGGCATCCCGGGGTGCCAATGCCAATATCATGGGGTCACCATGGACTCCAACGTTCGTCCTGATTTGTTTTTGTTGAGACCACACCGCGGGAACAATACAAACCTCTGTGTTGTGACGGCCATTCGTACACATGAAGGCGCAAGTGTGTGGATATTAAAGGCAAATTTGCACCTTCACTCCCTCAATTGTACGAATGGGCACTCACACACACCTTCAAGTGAGCGACACATAATTCACTCACTTGCGTATCAAGTGCGCGCGGGGGGTCGACCACTCAGATTTTCGGTGTACCGGGTGATTCAGAGCACGCGCCGCCGTGTTGCGGGTTTGCCTATCCTCGACTCGGCGGGCGCACGGGTGAGAGCTCATGAGGTGAGGGGTCCCCTCCTCACCTCTCACCTGTGCGCCCGCCGAGTCGAGGATAGGCAAACCCGCAACACGGCGGCGCGTGCTCTGAATCACCCGGTACATGGAATATCCATGGAATAATTTTCGAATATGTGGGATATTTTTGAAATACCTGGCAAAATTCTTGGTGCAATATCTGGAGTTTTTGGAATATCTGGCAATATTTGTCGAATATTTACATGAAATATTTTCACGGTGGGACTGACGCCTCTCCTTCTCTCTCGCAGCTCGGTGCCGCAGGTCGCCGTGTCAAGCAGCACGCCGCCGCGCTGCCACTCTCCGCTGCCGCTGCGCATCAAGAGCGAGCCCATCTCACCGCCGCGCGACCAGCGGGACCTGAGGGACCAGCACCGGGACCCCCGGGACCGCGACCCCGGCGGCAGCCTGGCGGCCGGGTCGTCAGCGTCCTCGCTCGGGGCGCCCGGCCCGGGACCGCTCACCGTGGCCGTGCCCGTCCAGCAGCCGCACATCCAGACGCTGTCGATATCCGGGATGGGCGGCGGGGGCGGGCACGTGGTGCTGCCGCTGCAGCCGCTCGGCCACTCGCTCAGCCACGGGCACGCCCACGCCGCGCCCAGGCCGAGCTCGTCGGGACACCTCACCCCCTGCGGCACGCCCACGCCCACGGCAGGTGAGGACCCAATGCCACGCACTTGTAGGTGTGTGGACGACATCGGTACGCGTAGAGACCCTGTAAGTGCGTGAATTTTCAGAAGAAAACTTCACACCGATTTTTCAAAAAATTCGCACCAAGTTTTTAAAAAAAATCACAATAAGTTTTAAATAAATTCACAATACGCATTTTGTGCGCCACTTCTTGGTGGCTGTTCGCCGTATGCCAAGAGGACACGCGCACTGGAAATGCAAGTGTGTGAATGTCGCTCACCTGCAAGTGAGCGACATTCCATTCGTACACTTGGGGGTAAACGTGTGAATTTTCTAGGAAAAATTCGCACCTTTACCCCCCTAAGTGTACGAATGGAATGTCGCTCACTTGCAGGTGAGCGACATTCACACACTTGCATTTTCAGTGCGTGTAGAAACGCCTCTCCTAACGCGGGTACAGCAGCGTGTAACGTAACGCCGAGTATTGCGCCGGCCGCGCTATCGACCCGAGACACGGGGCACGCGGTGGCCTCGGGGCTCGTCTCCACGGGTCGCGGGGCGCGCCGCCCTACGGGGCCGCCCGGCCGCCGGTGACCACGCCACGCTCTGCAATCACGCGGGAGAGAAATGGCGACTTGGCTGCGGTCACTTTTGTTCGATAGGCCAGCGTCGATGTTACCGAGAACACTGACAAACCAAGTGGGCAACGTTGCGCAACACTTCTTATTGTAAGTTTACCACTGCAGGTTGAATGCCTGCAAGTGTTAAACTTGACAGTTCTGCCCTTGTAAGTGTGCAACGCGCACTTGCACACTTACAAGTGTTGAACAGTTGCACACGTCACACCAGCAGTGTTGAGCAGTTGCACACGTCACACCAGCAGTGTTGAGCAGTTGCACACGTCACACCAGCAGTGTTGAGCAGTTGCACACCTACCAGTGTTGAGCAGCTGCACACCTGGGTTGCCAGTGAACACGCACTTGGTTATCACGACTTTGCGGACGATAAATTGGAATTTCCGTCTTGTATGCCAGCTTGGGATACCAGGCAGGAATTCCATGGCTTCGTCGTGAAAACGCAGACGGCTTCAAGAGTTTGCTGGGAATTCAATGGACGCTGCGGGAGGTTGTCCTTGACATGTCGTGACATGACCTCGTACCTCAGAAAGAAAAAAAAATGTGTTTACCGTAAATCCCCCGACCTTAACTGGGACCTTAGATGGGAAAGGACAATTTTGCATAGCGAGAATGTGCTCTTAAGCACACCTCAATCGGATTTACCGGGATTTACATTTGTCTCTTAACTAAACACACAAGAAAAGTTATTTGTATATAAGAGGGCAGACCTTTGAAACTACAGGATAACATTCACACGCTTGCATTTCCAGTGGGGTTAATACCGTTCTGGGAAATCAGGGAAAAGTCAGGAAAAATCGAGAAAAGGTCAGGAAAAAATTTAAAGATGTGGTAGTTTGCGTGACATGCATTCCATCGCAAACGAATGGGCATATTCTAGCCATAACAAATGATATTTACAAAAAGCAATGATTCAGCTTCATTTTGGTGTTCGTGTGCTCAAAAAATGTGGCCTGTAGGCTGCAGGCGGTGCTTAATAACACCTCTTCGCTATACAAAATCGTCCTTTCCCATTTAGAGTGTGAGCATGATGACCGATGATGACTGTGTATGACAATCAACTCCTGGTTGTGGGCGAGGCTGTGGACTGCGGGTGCCGTTTTCTCGATATCGACTTTAGCCCGTCGAACAGAGCGGATCGACCACCACAAAGTCTTCCTCCCCCGCGATGTGTGTTTGACGTCTGGTGCCTCCCCTGCCTCAAATTGCTTCCTCGTCTATGTCTGCAGGATCAATAACACCCACCAATATCGCTTCCCCGGGCGACTCGAGACACACAGACTACGACGCCGGACCCCTGCAGAAGCGGTCGCGCATGGCGGAGGGTTGGACGTCATAGTATGAGGCCCCTTGGCTGTGGGCGCAGCAGCACTGCCCCGCAGGCCAAGGCTTCGAACTCCACGAAGTGCACGGGGTCAAGTGAAAGTAGTACAAAAAAGCTGCGCTCGCGCACGGTTGGGGGCTCTGGACGTGGCCCCCGAGCTGCGCAGCGTGACAGTGCCGCGTGTGCTGCTCCAGAGAGAGAAAAAGAGAGGAAGTCTGCCCGCCCAGACTCGGAGACTCTACTAAGTGAGAGAAGAAAAGTGTAGCAGAATGCCGAAGGGACCGTATAACAAGTCTTCGTACAACATGATATTTCGTGCCCGTTTCAAATTCGGGTGCCTGAACATTACTAGTTATAATGGAGACCCAAAGTGTGTACTTAAAGAGTCATAGATAAGTAAGATGTTTTAGGTATGATTATTTGTGAGTGAGGCTAAATATTGTGATTTTCTTTCCTGTATGTGAGTGTTTTTGTTTGTTTTAAACCTTTGTATGTGTGTGTGGACTATTTTTTTCTACCTTTACAAGAAAGGTATTTTTTCTTTCATACAGAATTTTATTTACTTGTTTGTATCTCTTCAATCATGTACTGTGAAATTTCTACTATAGAATGCTACCTACATGTATGAATTCTTATATCATATATCATCATAATATTTTAAAAGTTAGCAGAATTTCTGAAGGGTTTCTGTTTTGTTTTATTGCAATGATTTGTATTTAAAGTAAAACCAAATATTAGATGTGCAAATGACTCTTTTGTGATGTTGTAGGAATTTGTAATATGTGAATTGATTTCGGTGCCATACCCAATCTTGTCTGAGTACGTAAGTCAGTTGTTGAGTAACATATGTTCATAAGCCTTGTTAAATAGTTTGTGTATAAAAGAGTGATTCTTCTGGTTTTGTTGTCATGTTTGGAATCTTTTTTTTTTTGTTTCTTAAAATTGTTTGAATTGTTATTTATAATGAAGAATCTTTATTAGAAACAAAGGGGGAGGGGTTTCAATACTACTACGATCAGTTTTCAATGTAGGCTGTGTTTAATTCCTATTCTGTCAGAGTAGATGTAAATAATGTTGGGAGGGTGTCAAGTAAGATGTGTCATTGTTCTAAAGTTTATAACTCACATAGTCATGGTTCATTTGTTCTCAGAAATAGAACACCGCTCAGCAACCTGCCTGTTCGAATGAAATTGAAAGATTTGGTCTTAATTTTAAAGAAGCACAGAAGTGTTAAGCATAGACTAGGGGGCATAACACGACAGTACTGTTTACATATACGTACAGAAGAGCATTAAAACTGTAGGTGGTTTGACTTCTAAGAGAAATCTTCCTGTATTAGTTGCTCAATTGCAGATTTATATTCATTTCTTTGACTCCAATGGCTGCTTTCTTTTTCACTAGCCTTGTCCTTTCCTAGGCAGCAGTGCCATTGTTAGTTATTATTATCTAGTATGTTATTGTTATCGACATCTATCGAACTTGCCTGGTATCAGTTTTCTCCTCATCCACGTGCCATCACATGCCATATTTTCAGTCTTCACTTCCCATCCCGAACGCTTACCTGTATAATATTAAGGTATTATCTAATTAAAAGAAAAAACCTTCCTTTCCTCGGCATCTTTATTTGTGATGTGTCCCATACCCGCCGTCCCGTATATATGTGTCCCGTGCATGTGTGTGCCCAGTTTGTGGGTGTCCTGTGTCCAGGCGAGACTCTGCGCGTGAGCGGGGTAGTGCGGTGCAAACTGCCACCCACAAACACACTAGACTCTGTGCTGCCACCCCTCGGCAGCTGGGGGCTGCCATCCCTTCTGAGCCGGGGATACACTCGCAGCGCGGGGTAGCGCCGGACGTTGTGCCCTACGCGGGGTGCACACACTTTATGGTGCTTCCCCTCTACGTAGGCGACCTGAATGCGGAGAAGCAGCACATCAAGAGGCAGTTGCACACTGTGAATAAAAGTTGGAATTTTCCTACAAAATTATGTCCGAATAGTTTGGAAACGCGATTTTCCAAACAGTTATCGCGATTTTCCAAACAGTTGTTGGAAAACAAAATTTCCAGTCCTCTTTTTGGAAAGTTCCGAACAGTTTGGAACAGAAATAAGGAACCATTTCACACCAGAACCAAGTTTAGAAGCATCAAAAATGACAATTTGCCAATATATTCAAAAATGGTAGTCAAAGGTTTTTGAGAGATCTCTAAAAAGTTTCAAAATTTCCAAATAGTTCGGGCTGCAAATTTTCCAGTTCATTTTTCGGAAATTTCCAGCAAAACTTTTTACAGTGCATCAAGTCATCCATTCAAACGACTTTCACGCTTAGTCTTTTGTCGCCTTTGTATGCTTATTATTTTTTTTAAAGAGACGGCGCAGCCATGCAGTATCAACGGCAGAATATATTGGACCTTCTCCTTTCCCAGTATTGCTCTGCAACCAGAAGTGTGTGATATTCGGATAGCTCTTAAAATAGGTGCGTACCAAAATGTCTCACGTTAAATTGTGCATGACAGTCATGTCATACTCAAAAGAGTGTATGTGCTTTGAAAATTCTAAGGCCTCCAATAGCAAAATCGTAGAGGAAATACTGAAATACTTCCCTAGATTGCTCTGCAAAAAAAGTGTGTGACATTCGAACTCTTAAAACTACAACTTCAATTGTGGTTTTAACGGTAAATTACTGTAAAACAATGACAAGAAGACCAGTTTGATGACTGTAGACTGTTCAAAAAACAATGCAGCTTAAGCTGAAAACTGCGCTTGTCTTTTTAATTTATCTCTCTCACCAGAAGGGTATGGGATGTAAGTCACGGTGCCACACCGTTACATTGATTTCCTCATGTCCAAGGAGCAAACTTTGTAAGGGCCGCGCAGACCCGATCGGAAGCTTATAAGTTTATACAAATATAAATTGACTTAGAATTCGGGCCATTAAGACCGGTTTACGCCGCCGGCTAATTGACCTATGTAAGAATCAAAAACAACAGTTCGCAAAATTATTATTTTTTAAATGTTTTTTTGTTTGTGCCCAAAGGGTACTTCGCAAAAGTTGAGCCAAAGGGCCAAAATTTGGTCCGTTTTGCTCTATCTTGAACCACGGAGTTAAAGTATCCCGGGGACCCTGTATCCGGTCTTCCATTTACGTTCACTCCGAGATTGTATCCTTAAGGCACTTCAGGGCACATTTTGACGAAAAAAGACGAAAATGACCAAATGGCTCACTAAGTCGAAAAAAGTCTTTGCATCGAAAAAGTGTAGAAGTACCTCCCCAAAGTTCACATTTAGAGTTGAACCATATCCTTTTTAAGATTCTAGGTGGGCAATTCCCGGTAGGGGTGTCCGTACGTCACGTGATTTGTTCAAAACATGACTGGACGCGTCTTGAAAGGGGGAGTCAGCACATATGTGTTGTACAACGACGTAGGCTAGCGCTTCTCAGTCGCTCCCGCGGTTTTAAGTCCGTCTGACGGAGAGGACGATTTGCTGTGGGTTGCCTACTTTCAGGGGTTTTGTCGAACAAATTGCCTACCCACCCCAGGGGGCGATTTGGGCCGACGGGGGGGGGGGGGGGGATCGCCCCTTCGCCCCCCCCCCCATAAAACCGCGCCAGAGACTTTTTTGACCATTTCTCCTGGAATTGCTCAGGTGCCCTTATCGCAAACTATCGAGAAAGATGCTTTAAGGCATTCATTTCCTGAGTAGCATATGCTCCGTTTACGTAATTTTGGAATGATAAGTCCCTGCCAGTTACAAAGAGGATTGAAATTTGGGGCCCGAAAGCCGTAGCTCCCTATTAGCTCGTCTTGGGAGTCAGCACCGCATGTGCAGCAGGCGCGTCGCAGCCGGTCGCAGCGGAACAGTGTTCTGCGAGGTATCGCGAAGCCTGTTACGCGAGACGTGGTCTGGCGTACTTATAGTTCGTACTTAATTGGCGCACGACGTAGCTCTCGTGTGTCCTCATCAGCGACGCAGTCTCGAATGATCCAAGCCACCCCGGCACGTTTCAGGGAAACGAGCGTGCGTAACGGAGCACCCCTGCCCCCTCCCTCTCTCTCTCCCCCTCTCCCTCTCTCTCTCCCTCTCTCTCGCTCGCTCTCTCTCTCTCTCTCTCTCTCTCTCTCTCTCTCGCTCTCTCTTTCGCTCTCTCTCTCTCGCTCTCTCTTTCGCTCTCTCTCTCTCTCTCGCTCTCTCTCTCGCTCTCTCTCTCGCTCTCTCTCTCGCTCTCTCTCTCGCTCTCTCTCTCGCTCTCTCTCTAACTCTCTTGCTCTCTCTCTAACTCTCTTGCTCTCTCTCTCTCTCTCTCTCTCTTGCTCTCTCTCTCTCTCTCTCTCTTGCTCTCTCTCTCTCTCTCTCTCTCTCTCTTGCTCTCTCTCTCTCTCGCTCGCTCTCCCCTCCCCGCTCTCCCTCTCTCTCCCTCTCCCTCTCATCGGTCTTGACAAACCAAAACTAACTCACACGGCGTTGGAGTACCCCTGGACGATGTAAGTGAGCGCCTCTCTGCAGCGGCGGCGCAGTCAAACAGACTAAGGCGCTTTGCACCGGCGTCGGTGTCGTCGGTCGGGGTCCGGCTGGGCGCCCTAAAGACCCCCGCCACGCCCCTCGACGCCGCGCCACGCCACGCCCCGCAAATCGGATCTGCCGTACGTCCGGCCGCCAACAGACAAACAAAAGGGCTGACCTGCTGCGGGGCGGGGCGGGGCG